CCACTACTGAGCACCCTCACAGCAACCCCCACCCCCCAGATCATATCGGAAGCAGTAGCAGCACCATCATCACCATTTAGAGATGAAGAAACTGCAGCTCAGAGAAGCTAAGTTCGTCCTCTACAAAAGTGGCAGTACTCAAACCCAGATGTGCAGCTTGGCGCCTATGGCTCAAGTGGCTAAGGCGCCAGCCACATACACCTAAGGTGGCGGGTTCGAATGCAGCCTGGGCCCACCAAACAATTATGGCTGCAACCAAAAAATAGCCAGGCGTTGTGGCAGGCGCCTGTGGTCCCAGCTACTTGGGAGGCTGAGGCAGGAGACTCGCTTGAGCCCAGGCCTTGGAGGTTGCTGTGAGCTGTGATGCCACGGTACTCTACCCAGGGGGACAGCTTGAGGCTCTGTCTCAAAAAAAAGAAAAAAAAACCCAGATGTACCTGGAAGCAAAGCCTTGACCTAGGACAGAGGTCCTCAAACTTTTTAAACAGGGGGCCACTTCACTGTCCCTCAGACCGTTGGAGGGCTGAACTGCGGGCCTGGGATGAGTCGGCTGCTAAGCAGGATAGGCAGCAGCGGCAAAAACACCCGGTGGGCCGGATAAATGTCCTAGGCAGGCTGCATGTGGCCCGGGGGCCGTAGTTTGAGGACGCCTGACCTAGGATATACCCTTTGTTGTCTTGTCACACTAGTCTGTGAGATGCTTGAGGGCTGGGGCACGTCTCGCTGATCTTGTACACCCCTGTCTCACCCAGTACACAGTCAATTCTAGATGAATAAATGGGCCAGCTTTTCTGAGCCTTTCTTTCTCTGTCAAATAGGTGAACAACTCTCTCCCTGCTTCTCTTCTTGAGGTTTGGGGGACTCAGAGAAGGCTCTGAGTGTGCACAGCAGCAGCTTGTGTGAGGCAGGGGTCCCCCTAGCTCCCTTCCGCTTTCTCCTGTCTCCACCCCTCTTCAGACTTGCCCTGGGCAGATTCGGGCCAGTTTGGACAGCCTGGGAATGAATCTCCTGATGCCTCACAGCAAAAGACACTGGATTTCCCCTCAAAACTCAGGGAGTTGATAGCTTTGTAGGTCCAGCTCAATCTCTTTTCTCTTAAAAAACGTATGACAGAGTTGGTGCCTGCAGCTCAGTGGTTAAGGCGCCAGCCACATACACCGGAGCTGGCAGGTTCAAATCCAGCCCAGGCCTGCCAAACAACAACAACTACAACCAAAAAATAGCCTGGCATTGTGGTGGGCCCCTGTAGTCCCAGTTACTTAGGAGGCTGAGGTAAGAGAATCGCTTATGCCCAAGAGTTTGAGGTTACTGTGAGCTATGAAGCCACAGCACTCTACCGAGGGCAACATAGTGAGACTCTTTCTTAAAAACAAAACAAAACAAAACATAAGTATGATATGATTCAGATCATATCACTCTTCCTCTTAAAACTATGGCTCATCATTACACACTAAACAGCACCCATATTTTCAGCCCAAACCCTGAGGCCCTGTGTGGTCTGACCATACCTACCTCTAACCTCATTCCCTACCACTTCTTACTATCTCTTCAGCTGTGCTATTAGCTTCTCACATATTCCTCAGGTTTCCACCTCAGGACATTTGCACGTTCTGTTCCCACTGCCTCAAACCCTTTCCTTCACGTTTTGCCTGACTTACTCATCCTGCAGGTGTCAGCTCAGATGTCTCCTCCAAGAAGCCTCCCCTGGCTGGCTCATCTAGATCAGACTTCCCTGCCATTATTACCCCTCCTGGCACCCTGCACATTTCCTTCTTGGTCCTAATGGGAATCTGTGGGCCTGTGCCTTTCTATTGGCTGAGCTGTTGCTTGCTGCCTTCCTCACAATCTTCCTGAGGATGGAAACCAGTCTTGCTGTGTTCTGCTCACATGGCACAGAGTAGGTGCTTGATGCATATTTATTGAGTGGGAACATTTTTTTTACCTCCTTGATAAAAGTAAACCATGTTCACCATAAACATTTCTTTTACTTTATTTTTTGATAAAGTGACTCTGTCTCACTTCGTTGCCGTCAGTCAAGTGCCTTGGCATCCTAGTTCACAGCAACTTCAAACTCTTGGGCTGAAGTCATCTTCTTGCCTTAGCTTCCCAAGTAACTGGGGCTATAGGCATCCGCTACAATGCCTTACTATTTTTGGAGATGAGGTCTCACTCTTGCTCAGGCTGATCTTGAACTCCGGAGCTCAAGCAATCTACTTGCCTTGGCCTCCCAGAGTGCTAGGATCACAGGTGTGTGCCACCATGCCTGACCTACCATAAACATTTTAGAAAAAAAGGCTCAGAGCCATAAACATTTTAGAAAAAAAAAAATTTTTTTTTTGAGACAGAATCTCACTCTGTCACCCTGGATAGAGTGCTGTGGCCTCATAGCTCACAGCAACCTCAAACTATTGGGCTTGAGCAATCCTCTTGCCTCAGCCTCCCAAGTAGCTGGAACTACAGGCGATGCCACTAAACCTGGCTAGTTTTTCCATTTTTTACTAGAGATAAGGTCTTGTTTTCACTCAGGCTGGTCTCAAATGCCTGAGCTCAGGCAGTCCACATGCCTAGTCCTTCCAGAGAGCTAGAATCATAGGCAGGAGCCAGCACAGCCACCTGGAAAAAAAGTTGAGAAGAAAATAAAAATCATCTGCAATCCTGCTACTCAGGGCATCTGATGACCACAGCCTACATTTTGAGTTTATTTATTTTATATATGTATATCTAAATCTGGAATCATCTAAATAGGTTTGTATCCTGATCCTCTAGGGAGTATTTTTTAATGATAGCAAATGCTTTTTAAAAGCATTTTTTTTTTTTTTTTTGAGGCAGAGTTTCACTTTGTTGCTCTCGGTAGAGTGTGGTGGTGTCACAGCTCACAGCAACCTCCAACTCCTGGGCTTAAGCGATTCTCTTGCTTAAGAGAAGAGAAGTAGTAGCTGGGACTACAGGTGCCCGCCACAACGCCCAGCTATTTTTTGTTGCAGTTTGGCTGGGGATGGGTTCAAACCCGCCATCCTTGGTACATGGGGCCAGTGCCCTACTCACAGAGCCACAAGCACCACCCTAAAAGCATTATTTTAATGGCTGTACATTCTTTTTTTTAATGGCTGAATAACACTCCATTGTGTGAAATCCTATGATTTGCAACAACATGTATGGAACTGGAGGGCCATTATTTAAGTGAAATGAGCCAGGCACAGAAAGACAAACATCGTAGCAAGTCCTTACTCACATGTGTGTTTTGGGAAAATCTCAGGACAGTATAGCAAATCCACCCCCAAACTGAGAGGGAGTTGAGAGACCAAAGAACCACTCAGACGAGTCCAGAGTGGCGGGTTAGATGAGTTTATCAGAGGTTACTTACAAGGTCACTTGTTCCTAGGCGGCCCAGGAATTTCTTTCACAAGCAGTTCCCTGCATGAAGAATCTGTGTCTGCCTACCCTGTGGAGTTGCTTTAAAGCTCTTCCCAATGAGAAACTCAAAGTTTTTACTTCCCATTGTTATCTGAAGATCTAATGGGAGGACAGGTGTGAGTGCCTGCAAACTGTAAAGTAAGATGCACCGGAGGAAGTCAGGAGGGGAATGAGGGGCTTCCATGGTGGGTGGGAGAGGCTCTTTAATGCTCAGATAGGCCTCCCATGCTGAGGAGGCCAAGGCCTTCCCAGCTCTTCAGGATCCCAGGGCATTCTCCAACTATTTCATACACAGTATCTACACTGTGTTCACACATGGGTGGGAAAATTCTGGGTTTGGGGTAAAGGTTCACCTTTCCTGTGAGAAAGTGTCTCCCAGCCTCCACCCTACCTTAGATGTGTCACAGATACACACCAAGGCCTGGGAGACTGCAAGGGCACATACAGGGTGGTCCTACCCTTTCGCCTGAGACCTCTCCAGGGACTGCCTGTTGAGGACTTTCTGGAAATCATAAGGAACCCACAGCGTAGTTTCCTCTGGGCCCCAACCTCCTACTGTGGGACAGGAACCCTACACCAGAACCATGAAAAGCCATGGACAAGGGCTTCCCCTGGAACTCCAAGTTTCAGAGGCTACCTGGGGTTACTGCGGGAGCTGAACGCTGGCTTGCTCTCAACCCAGAGGCTATCACAAGACTCTATCATGCAGGTGGTGGAGATTTTATTATAATCTGTTCATAGTTCTCCTCATCTGCTTTTCCCAGGGACAGGCTGAACCCCAGGGGACTGCGACAGGTGCCTAGGTGTGGGAGGAGGCCTCTGTGCTTTGCCATCTCTCTGCCCTGGCAGCCACGCTGCTGGGCACATTTCCCACCGCAGGGCCCTCTGGTGTTCGGTCTTTTTGTTCTCACTGCCCTGTCCTGCTAGGGCCACATGGGCTAGGGAAGCTGGGCACGGATGCAAAGGTGTGATGGCTCTGCTCTTAGGAACAGGCAAATCACTCGGTGGACTGCCACACCTGGGGGGCCCCGGGAGCTCTGTGGTGCGATGTTTCACAATCCCCCACCTGGACTCAGCTCCCAGCTTGGGGGTCCTGCTGCGTCCTCAGCCCTTTTCTTTTGCACTCAGGGCCTCCAAGCACCTCTGGTCTCCTGGAGCTCCTCCTTTCTCAGACACCCTAAAGTTTCCCCCCTTTCCTGCTTCCTTTTTGCTCCCTGTCAACCAGCGAAGCTTCCTGCATGTGTGATTCCCGCTGGGTCCTTTCTTTCCTCCATCCTCTCAGGGCCTGGACCTTAGAAACTTCAAAGCATTTGCTCCATTTTCTGAGGCTCCTCCCTTCCCTGGGGTTCAGAATTCAGAATACCTCTCTGAGGGGCCAATGGAAAATGAGAAATAGCAGGGAGAACAATCTGTCATTTGAATATTTCCAGTCTCCGCGTGTCACAGAGCGCCTTAGCAAACGGAGAGGCAGACTTTCTTAAGTAGGAATATTCTTTATTGCAACTGACATCCCACTGCGGATGTGGCCACTGGCAGGGTCTTGAGCACATGTGGCTGTGGGGAGGGACTGGCCCTCACAGAACTGGTTACTCCTCCGGAACAGTCAGCAGTAGGTAATTCTGCAGA